GCTACTCAGAAGGCTGAGATCTGAGGATCGAGGTTCAAAGACAGCCTGGGCAGGAAAGTCCATGAGACACTTATCTTCAATAAACCACCAGAAAACTAGAAGTGGTGCTGTGGCTCAAGTGGTAGAGCGCTAGCCTTGAGCTGAAGAGTTGAAGGACAGTGCCCGGGCCCAGAGTTCAAGCCCCACGACCGAGAAAAAAAATAAAAAATAAGAAAAAAAAATAAAAGGGATTTCCATTGCTCACAGGTTCAGAGGTTTAAGGGTGTGTCACTGGCACATCATGAGCCCTGGGATGGGTTTCCACCCTTTTACAGTTATTGTAGAATACGGGGATTGAAGTCTTGCATGAGTTTGGGGGACAGACAAGATTCACCAGAGCAGATGGCATACACTGAGCCTCTCAGGCCCAGACTTCAGTGACCTCCATGACTGGCTCCGCACAGCCACTGCACATTGTAGATCCCTTCCCCAATCCCCTTTCCCCCCAGTGGCACACAGAACCTCAGCCCTTTCGTGTTATTGCTCCTTCTATCATATTTCCATTTCAGATGGAAACCAGAGCTCAAAGAAGTTGTGCCTGACCTGAAGCCCTGCAGCTGTACTCAGCAGAGACTGGGTTCTAGTCCAGTCTGCCTTTAGCTCCCGACCTTTTCCATCTCCTTGTGGCTTCTCTCTATCCTATGTGGCTGGTCCCTGGCCCCCTCTCCCATTGATCACATGCTGCCCAAGCCAGGTGCAGCCCTCACCGAGCTGACTAGTTTTTTTTTTTTTTTTTTGCACAGACGCAACAGCCATGTCCTAGGCCTACTGAAAGTCTCATCGCCCAGCCCGAGGCTCACAATGAGCCTCCTGTGTAGTCACGTGAGTGGCGAAGTTGGTGAGCGTCAATCTGGGAGTCTTTCCCCAGGATACGGCTCCAAAGCAGAGCAAAGTATTTTCCCCTTCTTCAAGGAGCTCCACTCTACTTTCTTCTCTCTAGTTGTCAAACACTTCATGATACTTAGAGGTGACACTGATCAAGACACAGTGCATTCATAAATTTCTTTGTTGGAGAAAAAGTGAGCAAATAGAGTAATAAGATCTGATGTAAAAATTCATGATTTTTAGCAAAGAAAATTCAGAAAAACAATGAAGTTGTCACTCTATATTAGCCAACTAGGAAAGTACAGTATAATCAATCAATTTATTTTTTTTTAATTTTTATTGTGAAAATACTGTACAGAGGGGTTACAATTAGGTGGGTAAGATAATGAGTACATTTCTTTCTTTCTTTTTTTTTTTTTTTGGGTCCGGTCGTGGGGCCTGAACTCTGGGCCTGAGCACTGTCCCTCAGCTCTTCAGCTCAAGGCTAGCGCTCTACCACTTGAGTCACAGCGCCACTTCCGGCTTTTTTTCTTTTTGCTTATGTGGTGCTGAGGAATCGAACCCAGGGCCTCTGGCATGCAAGGCATGTGCTCTACCACTGAGCCCAATGAGTACATTTCTTATCAAGCATTGTAGCCTCCTCCTTTGTTTCCCCTTCTCATCCCTTCCCATCCTCCCCCTCCCCCGTCTCCCCCATCCAGTCCTCCTCCCCCCCCACCAAAGTTGTAAAGTTCGTTTTCAACATGACAACTTGTACTTCTCATTGTTGCAATGGGTCCACCTGTATCCCTATTATACTGACATCAAATACAGTGAAAGCAGGGGTTATACTGTGGGGGAGGGACATACAAGGCAACAAAGAAATAATCTTATAAATGCGTTAGAAACAAATGCATGAAAGAAAAAAAATTGAGTTGTAGTTTAAATGTAGTAGCTATCTAGTCTAAATCAAGTTTTAATGTATCAGATATGGGCAGCCTCCTTATTTATCATAATGTGCTACAAGATAATAAACCAGAATATATTATTCAGTGAAGTCTGCAAAGACCTGAGCCCTTACCTATAAAATACATTTGTGTGTGTGTATGTGTGTATGTGTGTGTGTGTGTGTGTGTGTGTGTGTGTGTATCGATTGTTTTACAAGAGAAATGTGAAACTAAACATCTGCAATTGAAATTTTAGAAAACAAGCAAACTATTTTCAGAAGTCAAAGGTTTACTGGTAGCAGGCCTTACAAATAATTTTTAAGTCAAATTGCATCTTTGATAGTTGAGAAGGTGCCATCTTAGTTAACTCTCTGTTTTTGTGTTTATGGCCACAAATGAGCACATGCTATGTCAAGGGTAAAGCCAAACCTGTGTTGCGGTCCATTGAGATGCCATTGCAAACCTAAGAATGCTCAGCTAGGATTTTAAGCTATGAAGGTCACAAAAACCAATCAGCATAAAAATACTTAAAACATAAGCTCTCTCTTTCCAGAACATGTGAAGTTAATGTTTCTCTAACAACATCAGTGTGGTTCCCTTTACATTTTGTTTTGGTTCTAGACAAATTAGATTTTCAGGATTACCTCTGCAAAGAGCATCATTCAAAACATGTGGCCCATGGATATTTGGAGTTGACCATGCCAGGGCTGTTTTCTGTTTGATAGTTATGTTAGTTCTTTCTAACATGTTTTTCACATTCTCACATATTTCTACCTGGCCTAGGGGCAGTTTATCAAACCAGATGACCAAATACTTGATACTTTAAAGAAGTTAGACACATTGTACAGAAGTAGACTGTTTAACTTCCAAACATTTGCATAGGTTATTAACATAGAGGATATAGAAATAGATTATTTTGGGTGTTAGTTTTTCAACCAACTTAGTAAAGATACCCATAAGAGGATGTTTATTTTTATTGTATCATACTGTTAATTTTCATTTGATTATCATAAAACATGTTGACTCTTTAAATGGCCACATTAAATTTTCTCTTTGAACGTTTTGAAAATGTCTTAGTAAAATATGCAAACTTTCTCAGAAATATCTATATAAAATAATTTTTAAAAAATCTTAATTATTGTTGGAGCAATGATTATTCTCTTCAATTTTATATAGGCGCAATGTTTGGTAGAGGGTAAAAATGTAGGATTAGGTAGCAAAACAGTGAGGCAAAGGGCCAAGGGTGAACTAATGCAACAGTGATACTAACAAGACATTATGTTGGAAATGAGCTTTACAACTTGGGGGAGGGAGGAAGTCAGATGGGGGAGAGAAAGTGGGAGAAAAACGAGGGAGGGGATATCAGTGTTCGACAAGAAATGTACTCATTACCTTATGTATGTAACTGTAGTCCCACTGTACATCACCTTTACAATAAAGTTAAATGAAAAAATGTAGGATTAAGAACTCGCACCGCCCCCTCCCCACCCCCCCCGCCCCCCGCCCCCAGTCCGGGTCTTGAACTCAGGGCTTAGGCACTGTCCCTGAGCTTTTTTATTTAAGGCTAGCTCTCTTCCACTTGAACCACAGCTCCAATTGTGGCTTGTTGGTGGTTAATTGGGGATAAAAGTCTCTTGGACTTTCCTGACTGGGCCTCTTGAGTAGCTAGGATGACAGGTGTGAGCCACCAAAACCCAGCAGGATTAGGGACTTTTTAAAAAGGAAAATAAGTAGGTGGAGGAGTATTGCAGAAAGCATGCCAGCAGTAAAGTGTGAAGGGAAAAGGGCAAAAGAGACCGAGGGAAAGTGACAGACATCCATGTATCTGAAGACGCTCTTCAATTTCTCCTCTGTGCTCTGCAAGTAGCATGAGACAGAGGGGACTTCAAACAGAGGGCTTTTGATGGGGATCAAAGCTCTGTGTCCTCCAGGTTAAGGATAGACACTTGTGGCCACGGCATATAACATCAGGGGAACACACATCTACAACTTGACACCAGTTAGCCTGAAACTGTGACAGTGATGTGACTTTACAGTGGGGATGTCTGGAAATGCGAGCTATGACTTGTAATAATCAAGGATTCAAAAGTTACTTCATTCTAGCCAAGAGGATTTTTGTTTCTTTGCTCTGAAAAACATCCTGTTTGTCATCTGCATTTTATAGCTTTGATACAAATTAGTTTTCAGGTGTTATAGATTTTTTTGGGAAATAATTTAGAACTTTTATTTGTGGGGGACATTACTGCACTCAAAAACAGGATTCACAACGTTTGTGGGACCCACATAGCTAAGACTGGCAGGTGACAGGTACACAGAAGCACTTGCTGCTTGAATGGGTAACACTTGCACTAGGTCACCTTGATAGGGAGGCATAGGATATGGCAAGTGGAAAAGGTAATCTCACATGGATTTTTGGAGCAGAGGAACTGCTCATCAAAACATTTCAAAACCATATACTTAGCTGGAGAATATTGAGGCTTAGATGTCAGTGAGGATAAGTTTGATATTTAAAACTAATTAAGCAGTTGTGCAAATTGCACATAAACATACTACTCAGTATCTCCTGCATAGTTCAGTAATTGGAGAACATGATTCATCTCCTTCAGTGACTCCCTTGTAGGGATGAAAACAGAGATTTCTTTATTGTCAAGGACAGAAGCCAGGAGCTGTTTACTCCTAAGTGAATATTTCTTATACTTTAGCTTTTCTAAAGCAATGGAAATTCCAAGCATATGGGACTCCCCGTGTTATAGAATTTTAAATATAAATATTTGCAACTTCTTAGCCTCTTTGTCTGAGATGGCGGCTCAGTGGCCACATTTTCTAAGGCACCACTGACTCCTGGTGGTAGTCATGTGTAATTGCAGGCAAAATATCTAAGTAACAAGTAATCTTTCATTGTTATGTTACTTAGAAATGTGAAACATGAAGGGAAATAATTGCTCATTCCAGGGCCTGTGCTTGTTGTCTCATTGGTAGGATGAGGTCTTTGTTTAAAAAGTACTTTAGAGGATGAATTTGTTCAAAGTACATTATGTATATGTATGAAAACAACACAATGAGACTCCTTCATAGTATAGATCTCTATTAACCCAAGAAAAAAAATGTGAAGTTGGAAAATGAAAAAAAATTCCCAAAATGTTTCTTTAGTTTTTACTACCACTTTTGCTCATAAGAGAACTTGACTGACTGCAGAATTTGTCATGGCAGCATCTGCAGGAATTGCTGTATCCCAGAGGAAAGTGCGCCAAATCAGTGACCCCATCCAGCAGATATTAATTCAGCTGCACAAAGTCATCTACATCACACAGGTGAGTGCTCTGGCTCCTCACTGCCTTTTTATCTTAAATGCAAACTTGATGGCAATTTTGTTGACCTGGATATCTGTGGAACTGACAACTGGAGTGAATACTTGTCACCTTCCTACCAATTACATAGATATGGGATACATTGGCCCATCAGCACAGTAAGGCAATGAAACAACTATATCAGGTTTTCCCAGGATTTCTAATCACCTCTGCCATTGATAGTGCCCAGCCCAAATGGAAATTTCCTACAGTGGCCCTGCAATGTGGGAATGAAGAATAGGAACAGAGCTGGCTTTCTCTTTCCATAAGCAGTTTTGCCACAGGGAGGAAAGTAAAACAATGTCCCCTTCATTAATTCTGAGAATTGATACCCGGATCCCATAAGAGATATGATAGCCAAACCAACATGAAATCCATGATTATTAAGCCTTACTAGCTATAAATCTCAGTGACTCATAGACACTAGAAAGTAGCCATTAATTATTGACGGAATTTGTCCAGTGCTAAACAACTTCAATTATCATTCACCAAAACATGACCTATTGAAAAAAAAAAAAAACCTTAAATAGTCATTCACCAAAGGTACACATGGTAAAAGTCCACAAAAAAGATGCAGACATTTGGACAAAAGCATAACTATTTATCTTCAAGCATAAGGTTGTATGTCTATGTAGTATATCCATGCAGTCAGTCATTTGGTATATAATTATCAAGTGCCTTTCATATGTCAGGAACTTGAGAAATATGTATGAACAAAACATATTTTGTTACCCTAATATTCAAAGAACCAATGTTCTTTGAATTTCACAGGTCCAGTGGCCTGAGGAATATTGTAATAGAGACTTTGGCTCTGTCCATCCCATGACTACCCTCCCCTCTACCCTCTCCTCTTCCCCCCCTCCCCGCCCTAGGCCCCAGCCTGAAAAGACAGAACCCAAAACTTTGTGTGTGTATATGGCAGGGCTAATGCTTGAACTCAGGGCTTTGAGCTCTTTGCTTGGCTTCTTTGAGCATGGCAGATGCTTTACCACTTGGGCCATTCCTCTACTTCTGGCTCAGCTACAGGGGCTCATGCCAATTGTATTTGTCAGTACTTTACTAGGCGTACCTTTGCTGGATCTCAGTTGGGGAGAGACTATGCAGGTTATAAAAGGTAAATCCACACTACTGTTCCTGTTTCTCTAGGCCTTTCAGTTCTTTCCTCCACATGACTGAGAAGCTCTGGCATGCTACCTCCATACTATATATGGAGTCTATACATGGACTGTATTTGGACTACCCAAATATAGTCCAGTGTTCAAAACAAGTCAACCAAGCTATTAATCTGCACCCTCATCTGTATGAACTGACGTATCATCTCCAATCTCTGGTGTGCACACCTATATTGATGAATTTAGTCTGATCTAATGGCATTTCTTGGCCTCACATCCTTAGATTCCACTTCTGCACATGATCTCCAGGTTGTTGCTGATTTGCAAGCACAATCTTGCAATTTGGTGTATAACCTCCCCCCCCCCCCCCCCAATCATGTGGTGATTTGGCTTTGAGCATAGATTTCGCACTCATTGTTGGGAGTCCCATGAGGAATGAGGATCCCTTTTGAAGACCTCTGTTCTCAATGAATTGGATGCTCTCATCCATTATTTAACCACAGGAAGTCTCATTTTCTCAAATCAGAAGTTATTACTTTTACTAACAAGAAAGGCTCAGTGACTTGGATTTCAAGATTGAAAGTTTTACCTGTGTTCAACATGACATCCTTACTCCAAGTTTTGAATTCAGTTCTTTTCTCTTTCACAGGGGAACTGGGTGCAGTGTTGGCACTAAAGTTTGTGAGCTGTCTGATAAAAGTTTGCATTTCATTATCCAGATATCATTACCACGGAGGCAGGCAATGACAGGTGCTTCTGCGATGGACTCTTTCGGGTCTCGGACTGTGACTTTCTGTTAAGTGCCCCAGGGCACAAAGAGGGTTCAGTCCATACCACAGTCTGTGTAGTCTTCAGTGCTGTCCACTGTCCTGCATCAACCTTTTCTTAAGCACTTACATAGAATTGCTGAAGTGAAAGACATTCACAGTGTAAGGAGTACAATGGGGGAGGGATCTTGGTTAATAATAAGGAAAATATGATCTGCCATATCTATAAATATATTCCATTAAAATTTATTCACATTTAAATATTGATATGGAGGGGAATATTCTTAAATTTGGTGCTATAGAAATATCTTTAAATGGATTTTTAGTTACCTCAACTATTAACCATTAATTGGGAGCAGTATTCTTTTGAACTTTAAATAAGACTTTCATAATTTTTATGTTTAAAATGCTTCTTTTAAATGGACGTATTCCATTTATTTACCAATTTTCAAAGTATTTCAAAGCAAGAACAAAACCACTGTAAATATCTGATTGTGCTTTTGAAACTGCCACTGTAACGAATGAGTTCATATTTTTGGCAAGGTTGCATTCCTTGCTGCAAGCTCAGACATAGCTACTGCGGTTTTCAGAGTGTGTTTCCAGAATACCACCAAGTTCATGGCAGCGATGATTCTTCTCTGGGAACTTGAACTCACCATGCTTGGGACAGTCAATGATAAAAGAAGAACATATAATCCTACATATCGTGTGTTTGTATTTGCTACAGGTTAAAGACTGAGGTCAGGTTTCCTCCCTGCTGATGGCAAAGAAAACTTGCCATAATGTTGCATTGATAGAACAAATAAATAAAAAAGCATCCTTCTTTCCTGCACACTTGGTTACTTACTTCCACTAGGTGTTGGCTCTGAACCTCCTGACAACCAGTGGATGAACTTGCAGGGAAAACTTGCTTTGGTCTGGTTGGTGGTCTTTCCATCCAGTTACTATGGAGACAGATCTGTGAACGTCACCTAAAAGCAACTATTTTGCAAGGCAGGATGTTAAAAATCCTTCTTCCTTCACCGAACTTCCTTCACCGATGACTGTTGTCATCAAAACTAGAATGATAATCTTAAGGCCAGTAGGCTAAAATGAAATTGGGGTTTTATTTCCATCGCTGGAATCCAACCTCTCCCTTTGAGTAGATACTGTTATTAAAACACATGCTGTTACCTTTTAGGTATTGCTTACGTGAGACATGCAAGTCAGAACAAGCATTAGGTTTGATTCTTTACTGTTTTGATCATTTAATTAAAATTAAAAAAATATTTTTTATTGTAAAGATGCTGTACAGAGGGGTCACAGTTACACAAGTCAGGTAATGAGTACATCCCCTATCGAGCATTGTTACCCCCTCCTTTGTTTTTCCCCTACTATCCCTTCCCTCCAATTCATTTTTTTACATTGGGATGTGTGGGCAATACTGACTAGGACTTGAACTCAAGGCCTGGGCTCTGTCCCTTAGGGTTTTTTCTCTCTCTCTCAAGACTAGAGCTGTACTACTTGAGCTACAGCTCTACTTCTGGATTTTAGCTGGAAAATTGGAGATAAGAGTCTCACAGTCTTTCCTGTCTGGGCCGGCTTCCAACACTCATTCTCAGTTCTCAGCCTCCAGAGTAGCTAGGGTTATAAGTCCAAGTCACCTTGCACCCAGCTAAATAAATATTTTTCAGCCGGGAACAAGTTCTCAAAAGTCAGTATCTCCAAGAGAACAAGCAGGAAGTTTGGTAGCAGAGATTCTGAAGTGTGCATGGTAGCAACTATAATTGTTGCCAACAGAAAATAGAAGTGGATGGCAATGTGCTGCCCTGAGTTGGAAACCATCTCAGTGAAACCCGGATTTTGCTTCAGGAGCTCTGGGAGAGTAGGACGACCCATTCTCCTAGAGCTCTTGGGTACTTACTAACAGCAAGGGCGAGATGAAGCACAGCAAGAAATGTCCGGGGAAACCCTTGTTTTCAGGGACTGCAAATGTGGTTCTTTGTATTACATTTTATGTATTTGCTTTCAGGATAATCTTAGCACATTTTATTTTGGCCTTTAGAGAAATCTCCTGTTAAGTAGAAATGTGTCCAAATAACTTTGTAAAAAAACAAAAGAAGATACTAATGTAGGCCATTGTGAAATAAAGCCCTGTGAACTACTAATGACTTGCTGATGTGTTCTTGGGCAGAAAAATTCAGTTTTCCCCCCCGAAGAAGCCATATATTATAGTAGAAAATATACTGATCAGATTTTCTTTCTTTCCTTCTTTGTGTGGTGCAATAAAACATATACCAATTTTCAGGTGAGTGATTTGAAGAAGACATTATTTTTTCGAGAATCTTGTTTACTTGAATCTTGAGCAAAATAAATTATACTCCCTCAGGAATAAATATGCCTTCAGGAATAAATTAGACTCTCTTAGGAATAAATACTTGCTCGGGAAATATATTGTATAAAATGTATTTTGTCAGTGTTGTGGTGGTGGTTTTTGGTGATATTGGGGTTAGAAGCTAGGGCTTCATATTATTTGACTAGGGCTTTACCATGTGAGCCATACCTCCAGCCCAGCCTTCTGTCTATCATTTTAGAAATGAAATGTCTGAGACTTTTCTGCCTGGGCTGGCCTTGAACTATGATCCTCTGATCTCTGCCTCTTAAGTAGCTAGGAATACAGGTATGAGCCATTGTGGTTCAGCTGTATATAATGTCTTTAAGCTCTTCCTTACCTATAAAGTAATACTTGTGGAGTGGGAGAGTAAGATAATGAATATAAAGGAGTTATCATGGTGCCCAGCATATATGAAGATAGATATTGATGCTCTACTCAATATTACACTTCATATATATATATATATGTATATATATATAACATGTATAGTTATACTTGCATCAGCTACAATTAAGCTATATATGAATCATCATTCCCTGTAAAAGTTTAAATTATGGCATAAAGATGGCGTAAGGTCAGTAGTGATAATTACTCCAGTAGGATGCAATAACTTTCTAGTACTGTCCCATGTGTGAGTATTAAGTTGACTAAACATTAACTTACTTGAATGAACTTTTATGCAATGAATTCAGGACATCAAGAATAGTAAACATACTTCTAAGTCAGCAAGAGGCTTAGTGCGTTAAAGAAATAGCAAGGCTGGGCTGGGAAGGTGGCTCAGTGGTAGAGCGCTCACCTTGCATGCATGAGGCCCTGGGTTCGATTCCTCAGCAGCACATAAGCAATAAAGAAAAAAAGCCGGAAGTGGCACTGTGGCTCAAGTGGTAGAGCGCTAGCCTTGAGCTGAAGAGCTGAGGGACAGCGCCCAGGCCCAGAGTTCAGGCCCCACGACTGGACCCAAAAAAAGAACTAGCAAGGATTCAGAGTGTCTGAGTTCAGCTGTGCTGATAACTGGGCTCTGAGCCCAGTGATGCTTCACCTTCAAAGGTTTGTTGTAGCCCTTGGGGCAAGGCCATTCCCCTGGACATCCACGCTGCAATCACATTGGGCCACAGCTACATGGTCTGGGCCACCACTGCCCTCTGGTGTTAGATTAGGAAAGCAGCAACTTGTGGTATAAAACAGCAGTTACTAAATCCAGTCACTCCAGGTTCTTTCCCTGTATTGGGATTATCACAACCCTTCCCCCTTGCCAGGAAGGTCAGCCCGTATTCTTCCCCCTCAATGCCTGTTTCAAGTGTAATTCATTTAACTCATTCTTTCACACACCCCCCCCCCCCCATTTATATTCCTTTCTCATCCTCAGTGGTGATGATGCCCATCTTGCTCAGTCATGTTGAGAATATCTCCCCTTCATATTACATAGTTTCCCTTCTTATTCCATGTGAAAGTGCAGCAATTATGACTATTTTGGGGGGTTATAGAAATGGATGCGATCTGGATCAAGGTAAAGGAAAGGTCAGTAGAGAGTCAGTGCTGCCAAACTATAAAACCTTTCAAAGCATATTGAAGGGTTCATTATCTCTAAAACAGTCCAATTACATCTCAGAAGATGAATGAAACCGACTTTAGTCAAGCCTTAGGATCACAGGTGCATTTTAAAACACTCCAATTCATATCATTTTCTTCTGTTGTATAATGATAGTACTCCATAACAAGACCTGCTTTCTACCAGGTTTGGGATGATGAACAGTGGTTCTTTGGTTATAAACCCAGGCATCCAAATATCAATCTTTTCTATTACTCTATATCTGTACCTATATCTATATATCTTCATCTTTCATGGAATTTGAGTGGTTAGAAACAAATTCCTCATACTGGTTAGGATATGATAAATTTTGCTGCATTAAGAAATGCTCCCCTGAGCTCTCTTTGATGTGGCACTTTGGATGTTTATTTCTGGCTCAGAGTTGGGCTGGTGAGGTGGCACTGTTCTGTCTTGTGGCTGCGTCATCTAGAGCAGCCATCGGAGGAGGGGAGGACAGAGGTGGAGAAAACACCTTGGCTCCAAATTGCTTCATCCTTAGAAGGATGCAAGTCCTCATTATTGTCCCCAATTACTCACCTAACACTACCTTAACTGGAGGGCAGTCTGGGAGGTGGAGTCAGAATCCTCTGACACGCACTTCTTTCGTTGGATGTGAGCTTTGAATTATATTCTCACTGTTTTCAATCATGAGAGTTCCCAACCCCGCATTTGTATTCCCACTTAGCCATATTTTTGCTTACCTGTCCCTTCTTGTCAAGATCTCTCCATGGTGCAAGTGAAACATAGCATCAGCCCCAAGAACTCTTCATGATGCCAGACTTGTTTCTACCCCATTGTCCTTCTTTCTTCACTGCATCAGTCCCTGCTTTCAGGATCTTTAATTTAATCTTTAATTCCTGTATGGATCCAACCTGCAAAGCCCTTCAAATTAGATTTTTGAAATCCCTATTTCCATCCCATTACCAGTGATCCCTACTTACGTATTAACTCAAAACTTATCCTGACCAGTCTCTACTGAGCACAAATCCAGCCTATCTTGCTCATTACCACTAGTCCCCAGTTCAGTCTGGATGCTGTTTGTAGGAAGCCTCACAGGTAGTTCTCTATGAACAGGTGCAGGTCTCTGCTTCTTGGTCTACAGCAACAGGTCTTTTAGCACCAGGGCCATAGTTGGGGCCTTTGGCAAGGTGTGGAGGTCCTGAACACTTAAACATCTGATTAAGCATACTTCCTTGTCAAGGTTGTGTTTGCAAAGTTTTGTGTGTGCATGCAATTAGTAAATGATTTAGTTGTTACAGGAAAAGTAATGCCTAGAAGTGTCACAATGATAAATAAATAGAAAGCAGTATATTTTATTCCTTCTGTATCATAGGATGAAAAATGATAGCATACCAGGCTAATTTGGAATAAGCGTTCAATTCTTATTCAGTCTCCTTGAGTGACTATTGTTAAAGTGGCCCTTAGTGGATGCTTTCTGGTGGTTAGAGATGCCATGTTGAGATTTTGGTTATAATGATTTTTTTTTTCATTTTATATAGCTTCCTCCAGCTTTGCATCACAATTTGAAAAGAAGGGTTATAGAGAGATTCAAGAAATCCCTCTTCAGCCAGCAGAGTAACCCTTGTAATTTGAAGTCTGAAATTAAAAAGGTATGTATCCAGTTTAAAGGAATCCTTCAGCCAACAAGAACATACCCAGAGTTATATCTGGTGCCTCTTTACTTTGCACCTTAAGTTCTATACTCTATGACAGAGAATTGTTCCTCCTTAAGACACCAAATTGAGGGCACGTCTTTGACTCTGATTTCTCATCTTTATTTCTGTGACTATTACTTTTAGATGACTAACAGACTTCCTTTCAGTATGATTAATGTTTCCCTAAGAATAGATGGTATATCCCACTATCAAAACAGTATAAATTACCTTTAAGGTGTATGTATATGTTTTAGACTGTTTTAGGATTTCATTTTAATATTTAATAGAACAGTCTAACACAGCTTCTAAATTGAGCTTTTCCTCCCTGAAGATGTCAGTTCATCACGAGGCCATATTTTGATCATTTATGAGGGTTAGTGAAATAGTTCTAAAGTTCTTTCCATCTTTGCTATTGTATAAATCTCCCATTTTGGGGTTTTGCTAATATTCATCCACACAGAAACTAATAGCTAAATCAATCAGACCGAAAGGAAGTCATTTCTTAACCTCTGTGTAGCACAATTTTTGTGAGAGGAAATCCCTTTGCCCGAAAGTGGCCACAGCTTCCTTTCTTTCTCTGAAAAACTCACCAACATCTGCACATTTTGGGAGAAGCTTTTGCCTGTCCTCAAACTTTGGCATAGTCATTCTGCCGATGAACTTTCCTTTGGCAGTTTCCTTTTCCTTGAATGGATCTATTCTGAAGCATAAACTCACTCATCATTGAAGAGGTATGAGGCTCTATGGTCAGTAAATGGAACTGTGCACTTGCTTTGTGGCTCAACACCCACATACATGATGCTCCTCCACCATCCTGAAAGGAGACAGGGAAAACATAGCTGCTGGTGAGCAAGACCAAGATGCATCTCATTAGAGGCTAGAGGGCAGGATTGCCTTCCAATGTGGGTTGGCAAATGTGGCCATGCACCATAGCTATTGAGGAGATGAGACAGAAGCAGAGGCAGGTACTGGTTTGATCACACTCACTTACCTACTCTATCCTGAATCCTAATCAAATATATTTCTAAAACAGAAGCTCAGATATTCCACAAAAGCTCACCCACTGCTTGGTTTTTCTATTCTTATTAAAGGCGCATTCAGAATAATCCAGTGTGCATAGATTTCCGGTAGCAGAAATCCCAGTTTTATGAGATGAAAGCATATGTGGCCAACTGAGGCACACAGACTTGCTCTGCCACTCCCTCAATCCGTCCTTGTCCTTTAGTTCAAGTCCTTAAAGCCAACCAAAGTCTTCTTTGTCACACAGATTTGGGGTTGATTGTACATCCCTTAATCTACAGCAAGAACATTTCCTTTTCTTGGACCGTCCTGGGCTCTCCTCCTCTGTGTTGTCTTACTAGAGCCCTTCTGTCTCTTCCAGTTTGGGAAAGCAAAGTGGAGATGAACAGCGTGGTAGAGGTGGTTGGGAGGTCAGAGGAGCGAGCTCAGGGAGACAGACTTATCCCTTATTCCCAGCTGGGTTCAGAGGTAAATTAAACTCTCTGATGAAGGATGCTATGGTCTCCTTCTCTGATATTATAAGCTGGCAACAGCCCATGGGGGGCCCAGTGCGGACCCTCAGCCGGGAGAAGGGAGTCAGCAGAAGGGAGGCCTAGTTCATCCACCACTGCCCCAGGCGAACTCAGCTGCCAGGAAGATGGGTTAGAGCATCAGGTGTTTACCTTCCTGATTGGGGAAGTGAGCCTCACCTCCTGTGTGCTAAAGAATTAACCTTCAGTCTGATGTTGAAGCAATTCTGTCCTTCACCACCGAATGGAGAAGTCAGCTTCCCCATAAAAACTGTCCTCAATTTTCTCTGTCTACAATCAAATTCCCCTGGCTCTATGCACGAAACACTTTTGCACTGTTGTGTTTGAAGTAGTTTTTTTTAATCTGCTTTATATTTCTGGTTCTCTCAAAGTGAGTGGGAGTCAGATGCGGTTTGTTTCTCTTTGTTTCCTCGAGGTCTTGCATAGATCCAGACATGTGGTAGGTTCTGGATGTACAATTAGTGAATGGAGACTATCTTCAATCTTTATATATTCTATATTTGATATTCTATATTCTTTGTCAAAATAGGTTGACATATAATATAGTCATGCATTTCTTTATGAATGTGGAAAGATCTGGTCTTACTAAACCTGAATGAGAAGTTGTGATCTCTGTTCCCCATTTCTGGTGCCATCTTTTCATTGTAACGTTCTTGGTTTGGAAATGGGGTTTTTATTTTCTAAACCTAGAGGAGTGGCCAGTTAGCCTAACATACCAGTGCTCCACTCCAGGACCAGCACAGCAGTAAGTGGGTCAGCATAGAAAACGTGCTTGGGTTTTCCTTTTCTCTTTTTCTGACAGGCAGCGACCCCATGTCTCCAGCTGGAGTCATTATGGGATGGCAATGCCTACTTATGAATGGACTAAGAGCCAGTGGGAGATATAGAGGAATCAAAAACTGCAAAAGCCTTTTTCTAAGATGTTAAGCTCTTTACTTAAAGCTCATCTTAGGTGGTTTGCAGTCCAGTCTTCTGAGTGTTGGCTGAAATTGTATGGAGGAAAGGAGGATAAAGCGATTGAGTCATTATACGTGGGGCTTTGGGAACTAGGATTTTCATCTTGGGGGCAAAGGAGAAAGACCGGCAAGATAGAAGAGATTAATTCAAATTAGCGTTGAAAGTGTGCTGAGTATAAATTCATGATAAATATTTTTAAGTGGGCTAACTTTAATATTTTTAAATTTTATTTTGTGGTAAAGATGCTGTACAGAAGGGTTACAGTTACATGAGTTAAGGTAATGAGTCCATTTCTCACATTCTGTTGGAAATGAACTTTGCAACTTCAGGGCGGGGAGAGGAGTGGGTGAGGTGGGAGAGGGAAGGGATAATAGGAGAAAAATGAAGGGTAACAATGCTGGACAAGAAATGACTCGTGATAAATCGTACCTTCAGAAAACACAAACTTTTAAATATGTTTAGTAAATGTCCTAGAAACAAATCAGTCACCAATGAGCTTCTTACTCATGATTCTGTGGAAAAATCTGATTGACCTAGAGCATGAAGTAGCATGGAATATCTTCACATAACAGAGAACATAGCATGGATGCTGTCACAGTGTACTGAGTGTCTATCAGACTCAGAGGACTGAGGGCTCTACCTACCTGGTATCCAGTGTTTGCCTTGCATGCCTGACCCCTGGGCTCAGTACCCAGCACATGCACACACACACACACACACACACACACACACACACACACACACACACACACACGAATTCAGGATTCAACCTGAAGAGGTTCTCACTGGCTATGGCATATCTCTAAAAATATTTACCACAATGGATTGAAAACACTAAATAATGTTTAAATCCAAGAGTTCCTAATGATACTAAAGAAGAGACATAAAAGAGATCTCTCATAGGTTATCTGTGGAGAATGCTAAGAAACGGATTCATTATTTCAAAACTTGTGTACAAAAGGAAGAATGCTTATTCTTTTATTCTCTAACTGATGATGAATAGAAGCATTTTTTCTATGATACAAGTAGTTCAGTTACTAACTAGTGAAGGAATAATGCATTCTACAGTTTGGAATTCTTCATCCATAAATAAAGATGGATGAAGATAAGATGGCCCATAGCTGCTGATACTATAAAAGGAGAGGCAGATTGATAGTGGAGGCCACTTGATGGAGATCCAATCTCTATGCTGTGCTTATTCTAAAGCTTATCTTTACCTCTGACAAGACTCTAAATCAGAACTCAGAAAACCCTAACCCTCAAGTCATTCTGTTTTGCTGCCTGATAATGCGAATGAAATCTTATTTCCAGAACCACATATATTCATTTACTTATGGGTATGTCTGCTTTTATATGATAGATTCAGCCAAGTAGCTAAGATGGAAAGAAACCATTTGGCCCCCTAACCAAAGACATTTGCTATATAACTTGCTTTTGGCACTGCTGAGATTTGAACTCAGGGCCTTATGATTGCTTGGCAGGTGCCTTATCCTTCAGCTAGGCCCCAGTCCTTTGTTGTTTAGTTATTTTTCTTGCAAGATCTTGGTTTTGTCTGTGGCTAGTCTTAGTCTGTGATCCGCCTACTTACAGTCTCCTGCATAGCTTCATGATAGGCACGTGCTACTGCTAAAAAACTTTGCCATTTCCTGGTCTATATCTAGCGGCAAATACAGGGAGTAAGAGCTCATATTAAATGGCATTATCAATCTGCAAAACATATATTGAGAAATTTTACAGGAAAAAGTGACACATTTTCTTCAATAAACAAATAGCTAGAAGTCGGGAGAAGAGAAGGCAAGAGGAGAGGAGGAGTGAGAAGCCAAAGGAGGAGAGGGATTGCTGTTGAGTAAAGTGTGCAAATATCAATGACTTGTAATATATGGACTTACTCCTTTCTAACTTAAGTTCTAAAATGTTTTAAAATGTATTTATAAGATCACCAGTAAAATACAAACATTGATGGCATACTTGTTTTTATTAAGGAATTAATAACTCCTTTAAGATGGGTTATTTGTATGGTTGTTCTTTCTAAAAGAAAAAAATCTGTATTTTTCAAGATCCATATAGATGGCACTAAATGTTGTACAGAATTTCTTCTCTAAACTCTGAGTATAGGACATAGAAAGAAAGAGAAATGGAGGATATATGAGGCAAGATTAGACAATTTAAAGCTGGGTAGTGGATTGATAGACTTCATTGTGTTGTTTAATCTACTTGTAAATGTTTGAGTTTAAAAATAAAAAGGTCACATGTTTATTTGTGTTTAATATTTAATGCCTGATTCTTCTCAGACCAGGGATTTCACAGCAACATTTTTTTTTCTCTCTGCTGGTCCTGAGGCTTGAACTCAGGGCCTGGGTGCTGTCCCTGAGCTTTTGTGCTCAAGGCTAATGTTCTACCACTTGAGCCACAGATCCACTCTGAATTCTTGGTGGTTAATTGGAGATAAGAATCTCACAGACTGTTTTGCTCTGGCTGGATTTGAACTGCGATTCTCAGATCTTAGCTTCCTAAGTAGGTAGGACGACAGGTGTGAGCCACTGGTGCCTGGCTTCCCTATATTATGAAAACAATTCTCCTAGCAAAGCTGCCACTGAGAAGTGAGCAGGTTATTTCCCATCTTAGAACACCTGGATGGAAGGATTGGCTGGAGCGATCCCTGGGGGAAGTGGCAGCTGTTTCTAATTGGCACAGGGGTACAGTGTGGGGTCATTGGGGGTGCTGGCCCCAAGTGATGTAGGTGGCGGATCATTGCATACAAACATCATCTAGACCAAAGATTAAAACAAGGATGTGGAATAATGATGAAAGGAGTGATATCCATCAAGATGCATTGTACTTATGACCTGACATGTTGAGTGGTGCCAGTTATTGGCACCAGAAACAAACAAACTCTCACTGAATTGTGATGCCATTTCCCCCTCCTATCTGCAGTCGGAAAGCCTGGAACTCCACAGCATAGATTCACATCATGTTCCTGTCACCATTTTGTCATAAATAAGCAATGTCTGACCTTTACCTTCAAGTCACTCTCACCTGAACTGTGCGCTTAGCTTCCTCTCACCTGCTCAAATCCACCTTTTATGGTTTTGCTCCCATTTTTTCTTGGCTCTTTTCTGTCAGGAAGCTGAGCACAGCTCCTCATCACCCTCAAGATCTACTGCCCTGCCCTGTTGTCTCTCCTGCTTTAGCCACATTTCCTGGTCAGATGGCAAGTGTTCCAAAAGCCAGATCATACCACCCCCCCCCCCTCCCCACTCAACGCTGTATACCTCATATTATTTGGCTCATAGTAATATACAAATTGTTGAAAGAATGTTCACATCTAGAAAAGAAAAAGAAGTGCTGTGAATTTCCTGGCTAATTTTGGTTCTTGACTTTTTTAGGACCTATAGCTCTTAAGGTAAAGGAGATGGATAATATGACATAGACTGGAAATGTTAAAAGCGTCTCTTCAAAGTTTAAAATCACCAGCAACAAAAACCTTCTTCTTGTCATCTTAGATGATAGTCTCGCCTCTGCAAGAAGCATACCTTTTTTTTTTTTTGAGGCTTTAAAACTCTTCCTTGGCTGTGAAATCTTCACACTTCCAAGATATATTTAATAATGAAGTCGAGTATGATTTCTATAATTAGGATGAAGCTTTCAATCAGTCAAATGACTTCAATACTCAACCACACAAAAAGTAATCCCATCTGAACTTATTTCAAAGTTAATACCAGGAAATAAATTTCAGCATCATAAGAAATATTAAGAGGCTTAGTCAGAGTGATGTTCTAGGTAGAACAGGAGAAATGCAGAATTCCTCCTTTTTTTTTTTTTTTTTTGGTGTTGACCTAGGGCTTGAAATTAGGGATTCTAGGGATTGTGTGCTGTCCTGAGCTTTTTTGCTTAAGGTTAACACTTTACTACTTGAATTACAACTCCACTTTTGGATTGTGGTGTTTAATTGGACATAAGAGTCTCATAGACTTTCCTGCCCTGACTGGCTTTGAACCATGATCCTCAGATCTCAGCCTTCTGAGTAGCTAGGATTACAGGTGTGAGTTATTGGTGCCTGGTGAAATGCAGAATTCTTTTTGATTTTCTTTCTTCTTCTTCTTCTTTTTTTTTTTTGTCAGGGCCTGGGGCCTGGGCACTGCCCCTGAGCTCTTCAGCTCAAGTCTAGCACTTTACCACTTGAGCTACAGTGCCACTTGCATGAAATGCAGAATTCTTGTTTTTAAATATTTTTTATTGTAAAAATACTGTATGGAGGGGTTACAGTTACATGAGCAAGGTAATGAGCACATTTCCTATCAAGCGATGTTGTGTCGCCTTTGTTTTTCCCCTACCATCCCTTCCCTCCCACCTCCTCAACTACACTCCCCCTTCCTCCCCCTCCCCCCCTAAATTGTAAAGTTTGTTTTTCAGTTTTTCAACATAGTGTCTTATACATCTCATCGTTACAATGGGTCAACCTGTTTAAGCATTTTGTTTTTTTTCCCCTTCCCCTCCCCAACTTAGAGAAGTATATATACAAGATGCAGGGCACTGACATCAAATATAGTGAGAACCGGGGTTATACTGTGGAGGAGGAACATACAAAGAAACAAAAAAAAATATCACATGGTACATGAAATGCAGAATCCTTAAGGCAACCTTTCTAGCATTCTATGGCTAGGAGGAGAAAGTTTTTCATAATGTTTCTGTGACAGCTTCTGCATTTCAGTATGTTGCAATCTTCCAGTCTTGTTGGATTACAAGTATGTTATTAATTTTATCAGGTGTCACTGAAGTAAGGAAAATGAAATTTCAAGAATAAGAAAAGAAGAAGCCAGTGAGACTCTTATCTCCAATTAGCTACCAAAAGCCAGAAATGGAACTGTGGCTCGAATGATAGAGTGCTAGCCTTACACAAAAATGTTTAGGGACAGAGAGAGAGAGAGAGAGAGAGAGAGAGAGAGAGAGAGAGAGAGAGAGAGAGAGAGAGAGGAGAGAGAGAGAGAGGAGAGAGAGAGAGGGAGGGAGGGAGGGAGGGAGGGAGGGAGGGAGGGACGAGAGAATCATTTTTCTTTAACGTTGTAGATATTTGGTAACATGGAGACTGAAAAGCATGTGATCAGTATTTAAAATATCCAAAATAAATGATGGAACAATCAGCTAGGACTTCTTGCTGATGGAAAGTTTTCTTTCTTTCTGTCTTTTTTTATTGTCACGATGCTGTACGGAGTTATATGAGTAAGGCAATGAGTACATTTCTTGTCGAGCATTTGCTGCCCCCTCCTTGGTTGGTTTCCCACTATCCCTTGCCTTCCCTACCTCTCTCACTGTAAAGTGTTTGTAAGGTATAGAATGCAGTAAAGGCATGTGTGTGCACCCTAGCACACGTGCACACGTGCACACCTACCCACCCACATTCTTTCCATTTACTTTTACATATACATTAACATTTGATTTCCCCCCTTCTCCATCAATACAGAGAAGCTTTCTAACCTAAAAAGGGCTCCTTCCTGGTCAAGCCACATCCCTTGCCACAATGTAACCATTATCTAATTCATGTTGCCATCAGCTGACTGTACATAATAGTGAAGCTGCATATATATATATATATGTATACATATATACACATATAAATATGTGTATATATATATAAATATGTGTGTGTATATATATATATATATATATATATACACACACACACATACATTTGTTCTTTTTTTGTTGTTGTTGGTTGTGGAGCTTGAACTCTGGGCCTGGGCGCTGTCCCTCAGCTCTTCAGCTCAAGGCTAGCACTCTACACTTGAGCCGTAGCGCCCACTTCCAGCTTTTTCTGCTATGTGGTGCTGAGGAATCGAACCCAGGGCTTCATGCATGCGAGGCAAGCACTCTACCACTGAGCCAACTTCCCAGCCACTAGTTTGTTCTCTTTTATTGCTTTTGTGGCTCCATTCTGTTAAATATCTGTCTATTTTGTGACCATTGAGATTTTCCCACTTTTCAATTAGCATGAATAAGGTTCCATGAATGTTTTGTACTTGTCTTTTGATGGATGGATATATTCATTTCTTCCATGTCTTCAAGTGTGAACTCTCCGGGTCACAGAGTCGGCATTTAGTTATAGTATTCTGCCAGTTTTCCCATGTGGTTGGGTAATGATACATTTTAACTCATGAACAGAGTATATGTATCCAAAGTAACACAGTTTAAATTATTATGCCTTTGCTTCTGGTTTATTAATATTGGACATTTTCCAAAGTATTATATTAACTCAGGCAGTAAAACTTGGTCTGCCCAAGTACTGGTTGACACTGAAGGTGAAAGAAGTTGAAAAAATATTTATTAGCTTAAAATGTCTTTAAAATGTCAGCTCTATAGAAGGGCATTAAATATATGGAACCTTAATACATTCTGCCAGTGGTCCAAATACTTCTTTATTCAGAACATTATGCAGTAATGTTTGGAGATTAAAATTAATTAGCAGTAATTTAGAAAAATCTATTAAGAAACTTGTTTTTCCTTGGTTCCACAAGAAGACATTGTTCAAAGCAGATGCATGAAACAGGATTGTGGTTTGGACTAAACATATTGTTCTGTTGAATAATTGGAGTTTATTCCTCCTACGCCTGATTAAAAATAACATCTTCATGGCCCAGGCCCATGCCATTATTTTTCGATCCATTTTTATTTTGCTCTTACAAAGCTATCAACTTCTCCATTTTTATTCTGTTCATAAAGCTATGATATATATGTATATATATATATATTCATGTGACCAGGGAATTGTCTTACTTGCTTTCACTCTAATTTGCCTGCTTCCAATTTCTTTCGGAAAGAAAATGTTTATCTATTTGCAAGGGCTAGAAAACCACAGAGCATTCAATTTCTGTGCAGAGACATAGTTCCAGCAATGGAAAATCCCACACAGAGGTCTCCCGTCCTTTGCTTCTGAATATAAAATAAATTTTGTTTTTGCTTAGGTCTCCCGTCCTTTGCTTCTGAATATAAAATAAATTTTGTTTTTGCTTTTGTTTTTTTTCCCTTCTATTTTAGTTATCTCAAGGATCTCCAGAACCAATTGAGCCCAACTTTTTTACAGCAGATTACCACTTATTACATCATTCATCAGAAGGAAACAGCTTGTCCCTAAATGACCAAACAGGTAACGGTTGTTAACATGGGTAACCTGGGTTAAACACACGTGCACAAGCATGTACACACAGACAGTTTGAATTAATAGCTATTTCTAAAACAGTATTTTCAACTTAAAAGAAAAATGGAGCTTATTTTTGTTATTTTATGGCCATAGCTAGAAGGGATATATAGTAAGAATCTAGATATTCCCTGAGATTTATCTTTCCATCTGTGTCAGCTGCCTTGATCATTTATTAATATCATAAACAAACAGCAGAAGTTGTATGTAAAAGAGAATTTCTTTTTATTGCATCTTGCTTATCTGATAATGGGAGGTCAAATGTCCCAAAGCTTCTAGATACGAAGCAGAAGTGGGAAGCTCAAATTTTCAAAATGGAGAAGGCCTGAAACTTACCGGAAGAATCTATACTAGATGTATTTAATTCTTTTATTTCAGGCATAAATTTCACATAGGAAGGCAGAGTAGAGAGATTAAAGGCAAAAAGTCTGGAAACCTGAATGTTGTATGCTGAGACCCAAATCTCAGCTCAACCATTTTGTAGCTGACCTAGGACATATTATCCCCTTACCTCTCTCCCTTCCCTTTTCTCCCTCCCTTCCCACTCTCATTTCTCCCTCTCCCTCCCCTTCCTCTCCCTTTCCCTTGTGCTCTCCTACCCTACCCTTCCCTACCCTACCCTACCCTCTCACCTGAACAAGCATTTTACTCATTAATTGCAGATGGAATCCAGGCCAAAAAAGTCAATGAGACTGCATTTCTACAATAAACCAGCAAAAGGCAGGGCTGGAGGCATGGCTCAAGGCATGCCAACGGTTAGCAAACAAGCCAAACTTTGCCAGGACACAGTTACTGTGAAAAGAATGGAGCTCATTGTTTTGTAACATTAATATATGTTAGTGAACGAAAAAAGCATTTGACCCATTTTCACTGAAGTTGAAGTAATAATTGTCCGTAAAATATATGAAGGAAAGTGTGAAACAAATGTCAGACTTTCCACAATTTATCTGTTTCAGGTCTCCCCACTAGCTTTGATTTGGAAGAGGGAATCACATATGAACAAATGCAGGTGAGGTCTTTGCAGTGTCTCTGAATGCTTTGGTTTTGTTGCCTTTAATTCAATGCTAACCTCATTTTATTTTTCAATTTTAGACTGTGATTGAAGAAGTCCTAGAGGAGAGTGGCTATTATAATTTTGTATCTAACAGGTGAGATCTAGAGCTTCTTTTCAAATGTGGAAAATGAAGTGAGATCATCAGATAGTAGTTCTGTTTTCTCTGTCCTTACTTCTGAAAGGCATTTTCTTTTTAACACTTTCCTTTTAAACAATTTATACCTTTGTTTATTAAATACAAACCTGGGTAGGAAATATATTACACATCCTTTTGTGGACACAGCTGTTATTGAAAAAAAAGTTGTCACATAGTAAAAATATTGAGTATAATTAAATGGGGAAAGATATCTAGATTGGATTTTAAAATTAAATATTTTCCTGTTTCATTCTAGAAAATCTGGAAACTCAGATTCCTGTCACTAAAATCTACCTACTGTTTGTAGAATGCTAGGGAAAAAATGCAAGTAAAGGAAGAATCACCATTTTGGGTGAATTAAGCTAGGTCAAAGTTAAGGGCCTTTGTTTTTAAGTGTTTCTATTTGCTTCAATTTACTGGGGATAAAATATACTCTTATCCATTTAAATCTGATTCTGGATTCATATATATATATATTTGCCAATCTTAGGGCTTGAACTCAAGGCCAGGGTGTTGTCCCTGAGTTTTTCTGATCAAGGTTAGCACTCTACCACTTGAGCTACATCTCCATATCTCCACTTCTGGCTTCTTTTGGCACTTAATTGGACATAAGAATCTTATGGATTTTCTTTTCTGGGCTGGCTTATCTCAACCTCCTGTGTAGCTAGGATTACAGGCATGAGCCACTGGTGCCCGGCATTGGATTCGTATAATTTCAATACTGGCACAGTGTTGGCACAATTTGAGTGCAGGTCATTTATTTGCGAGGTGATTTCAGGAAACAGTGGTAGGGAGTGAAGAAGTTATTCAATAAAGGTTTCATTATCAAGCAAATTTCTATTGTGGTTTACCGGAGTTTGATCCCACTGGAAACTCGGCCAATGTAGAACTTGTACCTCGTTTTCCCAACTCAGTGAGGATAGTTATCCTCTGGCCACTATAATTGAGGCCTATTCCCAAGAAGTGTTGATTCCTTGGTATTTCTGTCCTTTTGTAAAGGTGGACAAAGAAGGTTCTAGTCACCAGAGAGATCCTCAGGAAAAGACATGAGGTACTGGGAAGTTAGGAATCAGACCAGCATAGTTGGAAGTGGTGTGGATGAGAGGATCCCATCACTGAACATGTCTATTCACAAGAGTTGCTGTGGCTTTTCCAAGGAGTTACCCATAGCTGAATCATCAGATGGATTGATGGATTGAAAACATCTACACACTTACTTCCTATGGCTCAAGGTTGCTTTAAAGGCACAGTACAACCTATGTTGTGATTACATCCTAAACTGTTTCAGAGTGCTCTTTAAAGATAGCAATTAGTCTACAAGAGAAAGACAGTTGTTACATGGAAATTACATTCTTTTTTGAGGTTAGTTCAGTCTCTACCACTTTCCCCTCACCCACCCCCTTTTTTTTTCTCATTTCAATGAAGTTTTTTTCCTTATGAATCACACCAAGATTTTTCAACTACTTGTTCTTTGGGCTTGCTAATATATTTCCAAAATACTACTTTTGTGAATTTAGTTCTGTTGTGATTTGCAACGACAGAGAAATGATGAGTAATTCTTATATTGCTAATATATATTATTAATAGAAATGACCATTTCTACTATCACTTTCCTCCCACCATCCCGGGACTTGTTTTTCAGTTTTCTCTTTCTGCTCAGGGCTGAGCACACTCAGCCTATTGTGGATAGTGTGCCTCTGTTTCTTGATGCTCAGCATCAGATTTCAAGTACCGTTGGCTTGTAGTGGAGCCAAAGTGACTGTTGTCATTCTATATGCATTTCCACATAGAGTCAGGATCAAGGGCAAGGAAAATCTTCATATTTTTGTAGAAATCAACAAGATAGCAAATGAAACACTAGATGTAAGGTTCTTATTTTTGGCATCATTGGCCCATTAAGGCAACTCTCTTTTCTTCCCTAAACATAAACTACAATCTAAATTGAAGATTTATCAGTCCCTAATGGCTTCATGATTGGCCAGATGATGTGCACATAAGTTGAAACGATAGTACACAGCCCAAAAGTTGAATAACAACGTTATTCTGGATGTGTTTCTTTCCAAATGGCGCTTAGCTAGGATGACCTCATAATGTTTTTTGGTAATGATGATGATGATAGTGGTGGTGGTGGTTGTGGTAGTGGTGATGAAGAAGTTAAGAAATAGCATACAGGATAATAGAAATCTACATTGAATCAACTTTCATCACTTTATTTTCTCATGACTGATGAACCTAAACCTGTAAACGTAGTACAACCTACTTGGAATTGGTGTTGATTTTGCCCATAAAGGATTATTAGTTCCAATTTACTTCATAATTTGAGAAATACTTAACAGTAAATTTCAGCAAAAACAGAACAACTTCATGAAACTGTTCCCATCCTAATAAAGATAATTTTTTTTTTAGTTGTGATTTATTTGCTTACATGCCTGAGCCACAGCTTGGAAACTAAATCTGAACATGGACATATTTGTGACTCTAGGGACCTCTCTGAATCTTCTAGGTATCACTCCTACCCATGGGGGACCAAGAACCACCCAACCAAAAGATGAAAACACTGCATTTTGAATGGACTTGGTTTCCCCAGTGAAGTTCAAGTTCTGGACTTCAGCCACCACTTCAAGATGCCCAAGGACTGGATGTTGCTAAAGGGTGTGGAAGAGAAAAGCAAAGCAAACTTCTCTGAGGCCTGCAGAACTTTTACCTAGAGGTTCTCTTGGGGTGGAATGCGGAACAGCTACAAGGCTGGGGCTTCCATTCTCAGAATGCATTATATACAAGATGGCAGGGCTGTCAATGTGCTTCTGGGAGAAAATGCTGCAGAACTGCTAGGAGGAGGTGGTGGCAGGGGTGGGGTGGGGGAACTCACACAGAACTTCCCTCCATATTTTTTTTTAAACTTGTCATATTTTTCAAAGGAACATTTTATACTCGGGATTGCTAAAACTATTTTTGAAAGTATCTAGCCTTCCATATATATATATATATATATATATATATATAAAGTTTTAGATAAAGAAAATTACAGCACCCAAAGTGATATATCGGGTGATTTGTTGTCTCCCTCTTTTTTTTTGGGGGGGGGGGTCCGGTTGTGGGGCCTGAACTCTGGGCCTGGGTGCTGTCCCTCAGCTCTTCAGCTCAAGGCTAGCGCTCTACCACTTGAGCCACAGCGCCACTTCCGGCTTTTTTCTTTCTGCTTATGTGGTGCTGAGGAATCGAACCCAGGGCCTCAGGCATGCAAGGCAAGCGCTTTACCACTGAGCCACCTTCCCAGCCCCTCCCTCATTTTTTTTAACTTTGAAAGAAAACTTAAAACAGGTGATTATTAAAAAAAAACAAACAAAAGGATTGGTTCTCACTAAACCACTTGGGTGCTAGTGGTCTTGAACCATGATACAAAGTAGTCAGTATTTATAACCTTGCACAGCATCTGGGAAACTGTCAAATTGTCAGATGTATGTTAGTCTAGTAGACTATCTTAATGTATAGTGTTTATATGTATATATTTATATATCTGTATATGAGGGATGGAGAGAAATTTTGCCTAGATTGATGCTTTGCTGCTAATCAAACTTTGAAGAGCACTTTGAAAAATTCACAGAATCTATGAAAGATGGAATATTCCTTATTCTTAGTCCCCCTTATTAAAATCACCTACATTTGAAATAAATTTTTGTTGTGTGCAGGAAAGCAAATATGAATTCTTTCTTTACTCACTGAGATAGCCCAAAGGAACAGAAATCAGAGTGTCAACAACATTTCATCTTTATGCAAGAAGAATTTATGATGAGAATTTGCTAGATTCTTGTTAGGGTAAAATGATTCTCTTCAACTGGCTTCTTATTCCTCTGGTACACTGTCAGGAGAGAACCCCTCAGGTCAAGTCATACCACACTTGTGTCCTCCTAAAGAACAATTTATTCTATATTATTAGTCATCTGGAAGCAGACATTACACTTTCTATTTAGTTCTCCAAACATTCAGTTATACTTAAATACATTAGTGTTTATTTTAGCATGATCAGATAGAATTTATTTCACTATATTTACAGCAGTTGGAATACGATGTAACATTTCTGTACAATATGCAAAACTACATACTGTGAATTATATACTATTTTTCTATAACCAAATTCCTCTAAATCATGCATGAATGCCTTTGGGATTTTCTGATGAGTCAATCTTTCTCTTTAAGCCAAAATAATAACTAAGATACATGATACATTTAAATAGTAGGATGTGAATACAATAATGAAATATTTTAGTTTTCAGCTTTTAACCAATTCCATCCATATCTGAAGTTCACACACAAAACCGAAAGGTTGTTGATTTATCCAAAGGAAAATTTTCTTTCTGTTCTAACTTACTTTGAATGTGTTCTCTCATTCCTTGTATTTTTTTAATGTAGGAAGGAGCACATTTTCTCACCTTGCAGGAGGTACTATCCTAGAGGGTTACACATGATTCCAATTGAGCTGGAAGCCCACATTTAGAATAAACTAAGCTTCGAAGACAAACAGTCAAATTCTCTTTGAAATGATAATGTTTAGCAAACAGAATTTAGAAAAGAATGGCCCTTAGAAGTCGCATCTTTATAAAGAACATAATGATTTATATCAGGTGTTTTGAATGTGTTCAGTTGACCACTATTGACTAGACAGGGAACTAAATGTTTCTATTGAACTATTTTAGACCATAAGAATGACATTTATTATGCTTAAAACTAGTAAGAATTAACAAAATAAGCAAATGAACATCCTCTTCCAGAGTGTTCTGACAGATATATTGCTTTGCTAAAATAAATGAAAGTGTTCTGTTTTGAGTTCTCCTGCAAACTGTATAATCAGTGAGTCCCTATCTCCCCTGGGCTAGACCAGGTCTCTGGAAGAAGTTAGGCATGGCAAGGGAATCATTTGTATAGGAGTCCTGTCCCAGCAGCAAAGCTGACTTTTCAAACTTCAGACAAGGATTGCCTTCCCTCGTAATCAAAAAAGAATGGTCATTTTGTTTTGGTCTCCTGAACTGTCTTTAGTCCAAAGAAGTTGGACTTCTTGAGCTTAATCAGCCTGAGAGTCTTCTCTTGATTGCATTTGATTTTTTTCTTTTTCTCTTGTATAATTTTTAATGACTCGTGCACTGAAATCCCTGTGACTTCCCTGAATCTCTTAATTCCCAGAGATGAGAGTATTTGTATGGAATAGAATTTGAATTAGTCTCTTCAGAAAACTTTTGATACACAAAGGTTTCAGTTAATTATGTTTGTATCCACCAGCTCTAGCTGTTTACCTGTACTTGAAACCTTAATTTGTTTTTCAAAAGCAAAATATTCCCATCTCAGGGAACTGACCATAGCAAGAATATTTGCTTGCTGGGGTGTTTTTGTTTTTATTTTTTGCTTTGTCTTGTTCCAGATGTGTAATTTTTAAATGGAGAGACCTTTAGGAACAATAATAGTGGAGCCAGTGACTAGTTCTGGATGAATTAATTCCTCAAACTTAGAGAAATTCAGCTTGAGGTTAATATGGACATCTGTATTTCATTGGGCTACATGCCCTGTTTTAACATTCCAAAGAGGAACATAATTAAGAAACATTGTTAGGGAACGGGTACATATGTCAGTGGCAGAGTGTTTTCCCTATAAGCACCAGGCCTTGGGTTTGAACCACATATATACCACAGAAACTCCAAACTCATCAAACAAAAAAGCACATGAGATTTACGCAAATGAGATACATGATTAATAGTTAATGTCTAAGCCAGGCATGGTGGTAGAGTTGTAATCCTAGCACTCAGGAGTCTGAGGCAGGAGGATTGTGAGTTGAAGGCCAGCAAGTCCTTGCTATGGGGAGAGATGGGGGGAATGAGGGAGGGAGAGGCAGAATACAAAGATCTTATATAAGTATCACTTATGATTCATTAAATGCTATTTTGGTGTTCAAAAACCAAATACAGGACTGGTAGCTAATGTGTAGTTTCAGTAATAGCCTAAGTTAATCACCATTCATATTTAAGATGTGTGAAGGCAATAATATTAGCAATTCTATCAGTATTAATACGAATGGAAACGATATCCCTCTTTCTGATTTTGAGTGTATGTGCATTGCTCCCTGTACCTCCCCAGAAAAAGGGTAAGAAATCACACATAATAAATACTGAACACAACTTAAAACAACAACAACAACAATAAAAACCAGTAAATAATACCATGAAAAAAAAATAAATACTGAACACACTGGGTTCCTTTAGAAATTTTTTTAGCTTCTGTTTGTGGCAGGCAGGAAAAAATGATTTTCAAGCTACTTTATTATTTGCTTTTTACTTATTTTTTTATGATGGCATTACTCATGAACTCTGAGATCAACTGGAGGGGCAATGTAGGTCAAGCAGTATTTTGAGCAGCCCCTGGAGATGTTGCGGGGAAGGATGGGTGTTACCTCATACTGACCTGGGTGAAATCTGTCCAAAACATGAAATGCTTCATGTTCAACAATCATATGTGATAGTAAGTATTTTATGTATACTTACATCATTTTTTTTAGATTCTGTTGTCTTTCAGTGGGAAAATGACCAAGTTTTGAACAGATACTTTTCTTTTTCAGTTGAAATATGCTGCTCGCCTATGCCTACCCTTAAATGCTATTTTTCATTTTGATAGGAAGATGGATATCTCAGGAAAACAAAGTAGAGCTATAGTAACTCTTCTGTTTGTCAGGATAGTTAAATTTCACATTAGGATAAGTATCACTGTTGATTACAATTATTGTTATTTTGAGCATTGCCAGGGGGACAGGAAGATTTTATGATTTTGATGGGTTGATGGATGTATTTTGTCAACTTACATGTTCCCTGGGGGACAGCAGCTGGTTTTACATATGAAGATGACACACTCTAAAATTGCAGTAGCATTCTTAATATAAGATATATGGGAGTTTCTTTTAAAAATAGCTTTAAGTAGTTGTACAAAAAGGTTTCAAATTCAACCCGTCAGTTTATGAGTACAGTGTATCTTAATGTCAACCCTTCCATCATTCTCCCTGTTTTTTAACTATATTTATGCAGCATCCAACCGATAATATAAAAAAGTTTTAAATATAGTTTTAAATATAAACTATATTTTGTTGGTTTTATCCAAAGAGAAATGAACTCCCCCTTTAATTGAAAAGTGTTACTTCAAAGTGAGAAGATTTTTTTTCTTGTCCTTCTATATTGGTATGGGCCCAGTTACTGTATCTAGAAATAGCAAAAGTGTATTAAAACAAATATAGGACAGTTTAAACATTGCTATTTGGAGGTACAAAGAGAGATGGCTTATCTTCATGGAAAATTATGGCTAACTACCATTTTGACAGATAATCAACAAGACCAGATGTGTGTTTGGAATTGCTATGATGAGTTCACAGATTAGTTGAAGTTTTTCTAGTTATGCGAAGAAAACAAATAAACCTGTAAAACATACAGAAGTTGGCACTGAAATAATAAACCAAGAGGAAGAAACACTTTAAGGTTTTGAAGATCACATACAAAATTATATTCTGTGTGTGTTTTGTGTGTGTGTGTGTGTGTGGTGGTACTGGGGTTTGAATTCAGGGTATCATACTCTCCCTTAGCTGTTGTACTCAAAGCTAGTACTCTACCACTTGAACCACACCTCCACTTCTGGCCTTTTGCAGGTTAA